GGGGGGCTCTGGGCAGCGGAGACGGGGGCTCAGGGGGCTCAGGGCAGTGGAGACGGGGGGGCTCTGGGCAGCGGAGACGGGGGGGCTCTGGGCAGCGGAGACGGGGGGCTCAGGGCAGTGGGGCTGCCCGGTGCCCGAGGAGGCTTCACGAGGCCTACACGTTCTCAGGAGTGGTCAGACTGTCACAAACCCTGAAGGTTTTGTGACCGAGGTCGTCCTGGCAGGACGAGACCGTCGGAGACCACCCTGCTGACCACAGGGACGATCTGATGCAAACAGGAGCAACGGCCTCTCCACTTTTCTCGTCAACCCTTTCACATCTATAGTTCATAGCAGCTTCATTTACGTTAACATGTGACTTGTAAAACTTGACACGCAATTTAAACTGGATCCGCGTAGACGCTCCTCCACAAGGCACAGCAGAGCATGGACCAGATTAGACAGCAGTTGGGGCCGTGGCCGACACGACCAGGCTGGCGGGCACCTCCAGGCGAGGCCCTGAGGCCCACTACAGGCAGCCGGCCGCGATGACCTCCGCCCTGCAGAGCAGGGGTATTAAGGCCTGGGATCGTCTAAACAAGTGCTCAAACGGGGGTTTTGCAGGGACAGGGGGTGAAAGAACAGGACACACGAGGCCGCGGCAGTGAGGAGGCAGAGGCAGCCGCGCACACCACGGCCTCGGCTGCTGCGGTCTGTGCGTCGGTGTCTACACGCCTGCCCCGAAATGCCCCAGCCCCCGCGTCCGCGCACCCCTCCTAAAACCCGTCCACCCTTTGGAAGGGCAGGATTCGTTTCTAGATATTTAGGAGAAAAGCAAGTCACTATATTTAACGGACTGTAGCCTCCTGCGAGTCAGCAGGAGCTCAAAAAGAACTCAGAAGGACCGCCCACGCAGCGGAACCGTCTGCGCAGGAAGCAGACAGCACTTCGGGCTGAGTTCACCAGAAAACCAGAGCTGAGGTGGCTCCCCATGCAGTCACCCCGAGCCTGTGGCCTCATGCAGCAAGTGTGCAATTCTCTTGCTCTTCCTGAGTACTGGTCAGCACCCGCCTCTCCCACTCCGCGGGAGCTGGCTGCTAGCTGGCCGCTTGGCCCTCAATCCCCAGGGCCCGGCACAGCGCTGGCCCGAGGCAGCAGCACCAGAGACACTTGTGCAATAAACACACAGACCAAAGTGAATAAGGAAGAAGAGGACATGCAAGGAAAGCCCTGGAGACCACTGCCCGGAAAGTCCCCCCAACCCAGGTCTGGTCAAGGGCACAACCGGCAGCCAGCCCCAAGCCCCTCCACCTGGCTCAAGAGGCCACCCACTGCGTCCCCCACTAGAGCACCCTTCCTCTCTGCCAAGTGATTCCAGAACCTCTGTGTGTGCATGTGACTCTCAACTGCAGCACACCAGGGGCCTGACGGGCAGGGTGAGGGGAACTGACCCTGTGGTTACCCAGGCAACGCCGAAACGCCACCCTTGGTGTTCCTAACCGCCCAACACCCTAACCATCCGCCCCGTGTCACTCTGCGCCCCCTGGGCACACGGATGCGTGTTTGTTGGCTGAGTATTTCTAAAGCACAACAAACAGCTTGATTCCCATGCGTCCCCGTGTTCCCGGGCACCGTGCAGAGCCTTGGGGGCACATGGGAGTGGGGCATCCAGGGCCCAGCGGCACATGGCATGTGTTCTGAATTGGCCTAATTAAATATGCCCTGAAAGAGGCCGGAGCAAGAGGCTGGGCTGACAGCTGTCCTCAGTCAAAGGAGGAGCAGTGGTTGGGGCAGGAAGGGGCCTGTCCTGGATGCCTCCCAACCTGACAGTCAAGGCTGAGGGCAGCTGCAAACTGCGGCCACCTTGCAGAAACCAGCTGTCTGAACCTGCCGCTGGGCTGGTGCAGGGAACAGAAGTGAACGGAAAGCCGCACTGACCTCGGCCGGGATGCTGGCAACGGCGGGCGTGATCCCGTTCTCCGTGCTGACGTTCCCAGAGCTGTTGTTGGGGGAGCTGGGCGCGGAGCCGGGGGCACTGCTGCACGCCGAGTCTGCGGGGCAGAGAGACATCCGTGAGCTGCGCTCCCTGCAGAGGTCCCGGGCCAGGTGGTGGCACGCGCTTACCTGGGCCCGAGTGGTGGGGGGGGCCCCCCGGGGCCAGCTTGCCGACTGGCAAAAACCACATCACGAAAGAACATGACCACGGCTCCCAAACAGGGGCTGTGAGGCTAATCCCCTACTTTCGGTTTTGCTACGGACTTCCTCGTGCGCTCTAAACGTACGGCCCTGCAGAGGCCCCACCTGAGCCTTTTATACTGTGCACATTACCAATTTTATGCCTCTTGAATTTCAAGATGATCTGACACACCGGAAAAATAAGGCCTTAAACACCAATAACCTAACAACAAAAGACCAGGACCCACAGAAGCCACATGACTGTGAATGGGGAAGGTCAGATGTGCTGTGCTCACTGACAGAGCTGCAGGCCACGGGGCTCCCTCTGTATTAAAGCCTCTCATTTTTCCTGTGCAACATCAAACACGCAGGGGGATGTACCGCTGGCAGCTTGTGACTGATGAGTGTCACCTGGAATCACACGCTAAATGATCCTCCAAGTGGCCTTACAGGCAGCCGTGGCACGGCCCTGCGAATCGGGACCAGGCTTCACAGCCACTGGCCTGCACCTGAGGGACGTGTCCCACCCCCATCTCCTTTTTGCTGCCTGCCCAGCCACGGTGGTGACATTCGGGGCTTATGGACGGGCCTGTTCAGCTTTTTCCGTGTTTTCCTTTGGTTTACTGGCATTTTGACAAAGGCTTCACCACGGACAGGGAGCTCTGTGGTCCCCGGTTCTCCTGACCAGGGAGCTGTCAGCACGGGATCGCCAGCCAGACGACCGGCCGTCCCAGACACTGACAGTGAGCTCAGACCAGGACCCCTTCCCCCCCCCCGCTCCCCTCCCTCCAGGCCCAGAGCTTCCTTCTCTCCCTGGAAGTCACATTTACTTGTACTGCACTAACTGGGAACTGCTGAGAGGGTCCCTGGGCTGAGCAGCTGCTATACTTTCTGCACGAAGATAGAGCTACAGCCCACCTGACAGAGGCCGCCACCTTGCCCTTGGGTGCGGTCCCCATGGCCCTCGTGGGACACCTTCTCTGCAGATCCTATCCCAAGCTACACACTGGGTTCCACCAAAACTTCAGGCAAATGTGTGCCCCCAGCAGGGTCACCAGATAAATGCTCTTGTGCAGCAAGGGTGTGAGAAACTGGGTCAGTAAAAATATATATAGATCCAGCTCTTCACCCATTTTCAACTCTGTTACGCCGCTTCTAGGAATGTGGTCTAAGAAACGAATACAAATGTGTCATCGTCATGATGTTATTTGCATCAGCACAAGTGGGGCCCCATTCAAGGTGCCAAAAAGCTTGTGATGAATCATACGCGCCCCACTGTGAGCACTAACCACTCTGATGCAGGTGCCCACGGGCAGCTCATTATTATCTCTGCTCCTGTGGTACGTGTGGCCTTCACCAGCAACTGGAGAGAAGCAGCCGTGCGCCCAGCCTGTCCTGCGGCCCGGTCTTGTGCCCGGCTGGGCCCCCACGCCCACCCCTCCCACCCCCCTGCACACATGCCCTGCCCTGCTCTCCCACAAGAGACACCGCCTCCCAGGGCTGCACCGGGGGCTTCCCTCGCTCTGTCGGGACCACCTTCCTCAGCTCCTTATTTCCCCGTCTCCTGGAAAGGCAGCTCTGTTTCTGCCCCCAGCTGCCTGGGCCCTGTGAGGGCCCGGAAGCCTGCCTCCTCTAGTCTCTGTCAGCTGCACTCATCGGGCATGCACCAGCCTCTCCTAGCCCGGGACCCCTTCACGCGCACTCCGGACGTGCCGCAACCCAGTACCAGGCAGCTGCGGCAGGCACGGTTTGTGAGGTGGGCCTCTCAAATGAGGGCGAGGAGCAGCGTCCCTCTGTCCGTGCGCAGCCTGGTGCTGACTCAGAGTGGCAATGAACAGCCAGAGGCTGACAACGTGAACCCGGGACCCGATGCTCAGGAAGAAGCCTGCTGACGACTCCGTCTCCCCAACTGCAGGGCTAGGAATACGTGCGCGGCCTCGCTGCCCGTGGGGGCTGCCGGCCCACGACCAGGCACTCCTCAAAGGAAACAAAGCTGCATCGTGGGTTTTCACTCACGACTTTGCATAGAATCCCCCAGTGGCTGAGATTCTGGGTGACAATACTTCCTCTCTTCAGACAAGGCCTGTCTACGCTGCACCCCCAGCACGGAACCCCACATTAATGAAGAGCGTCGACCCTTTCACACAAACACTCAGAGGCAGGAGCTTGGATGAGGGGTTCTGGCTACAAAACCCTGAAGCACGGCAGGATGGGAGGGGGGAAGGTCTCCCCTTCACTCAGAGGCGCCGGGGCTTAGTCGGTGCGTGTGTGGTGCTGGCCACGGACACGCAGAGGGCTGGCACGGGGACCCCCTCTCCTTCCTGAGAACCCAACACCGACACACTGCCACCAAGAGCCTTGGTTTTCAAATGGGGCACTGTACTTAATGCAAATACAGTTCCTCCCCTCCCCCCCCTTTATCCTGGTGCCGATTTCAGGAATGTGGATGTGTGCCTCAGGACATGGGATGCACCCCCCTGGGCTGGGGTGTGTCCTCAGACAGAGTGCACCCTCGAGGAGTGGGTTGTACCCTTGGGACTGTGGTATGCCTCAGGAAATGGGAGGCACCCTGGGACCGGGGTGGGCCCTCTGCAAGTGAGGTGCGCCCTTGTGGTGGGGGTGCGACTCGGGGAAGTGGGGAGCATGGCAGGAAGGAGGGCATCCCTCAGGCCTGGGCTGTGGCCGGGGGCGGACTTCTGCAAATCCACCACTAGATGGGGGCCGAGAGCAATGCTCACTAAGGAAGTGGAGACAACCCTGCTCCCTCCTTTCTTCCCTTCCCACCTGCGGGACTCCTGCCGGGAAGATTTTAACGCTCCCCAGTGGTCCAGAGCGGAGCAGATCGGAACCATGTGATTTACTACTAACAGGGCAGGATCGGTGAAACCTTTGGAGAAACCTCCACTTAAAATTCCTGTAAGCACCCCGGGCAATGTCAAACCGGACGGCTCTGGCGGTGCTTGGGGCTGGGAGCGGGTAGGCGGTGCTCCGCGTTCCCCCAAACCCCGGCCCGGGCGCCAGGCGGCGGGTCTCGGACTCGCACTGCCAGCTCCGGGGCTGAGAGCGTGTGCAGAGGTGCAGGTCTCAGATGGCGTACAGGAGAGCCCCGCGGGGAGAGGGTGCGGCTGGCAGTGGGCGTACCTGTGACATCCAGCGGACGCTTCTTCAGAGCCGTAACCACTGGCCCATCTTTTCTGCGTAGCAGGGGGCTGCTCCGCCGTTCGGCCACCTTCTGCTTCAGCCTGGACCGTAATTTCAAATTGGGTTCAGAAGCTGCATGAAAAGGAGACACCGTTAGTCAGACGTCCCGACTGGGGTCAAGTTTATCTCACTGGCAGTTAGAAAATATGCACGTGGGGTAAGTATTCACGCAACACGGATGTGTGGGTCCAGGGCAGAGGGAAGGCAGCGTTCCTGAGGCCTGTGAGTATTTTCAGTCCTGCTAAACAGTCCCAAATAATGAACAAAGCCTACCCAATGCCTTCGGCTTCGTTTCTGCGGCCGTGTAGGTCGTTCCAGGGCGGTGGCCCATGAACGTTATCATACCTTCTGTATGTTGCACTTCCTTGCTCACCTGCGTCCAACAACGCAGAAACAAGCCGCTTGCCAGGGCTCCGGCTACCAGTGAGCAGCTGCCATGGAGCGCTAAGGCTAATCAGTCCTCCACACCTGCATGGGGGTGAGCGAGCCCATCTCCCTCAGAGGCCACCTGACCACAGGACACAGGTGTTTTGGCTTGGTTAGGTCTGTTACCAGCTCTGCGTGTGCTTTGCAAACCTGTGTATTTAAGCCTAGTGGTTCCCAAGCCTCTGCCCCTGGAGCGCAGACCAGCCCCGCTGGACGATCAGGTCACAGCTCTGGGAAGCGGGGCAGAGGCAGGTGAGGCTGCCTCGGGAGGAGGGTGGTCTCACTCCATCCAGAGGTGCCCCCGCCGGGGACACCTAAACAGGAATCTCCATGAGGCCATCAGCTCTCAGGCCAGGCCAGGGGTAAGGTCACCACCACGAAGACGTTTGAGTTCTGAGGTTTTACTTGACTACTTTCAAGTTCCTACTGCTTCTCTGTTTGCAAATTAGCAAGGTTTTACCTTTCTGTTTGTTTGTAATCAGCAACCCTGCTGTTTTTAATCTTTCTGGAACAGGAAGTTCACTGCTCTCCAGAGCACCAAACAATATAATCGAATTTCCCTCCGGAATCAGAACTACGATGGTTCGGGTTTTAAGCAGCAGGCCGGGCACGGGGACCTGGTCCCTCGGGGGCGCAGGGCAGCGGCGTGCAGGGACCGAGTGCCGTGCTGGGGCGCCAGTGACCCTGCAAGAGGCTGGGAGGCAAAGGGCAGCTCTCTCTGGGCCCTGGGAGGGGAAGGGGGCAGCAGGCCACCTACACAAAGCTTCCCGGAGGAATCAAAGATGCACTTTACGAAGCCGCTGGACTCCTCATGATGCCACGCCCGCTCGAGGCCGTGCATATAGGGAGAGGGGCCCTGTCCGCTCTGCCATGTTTGCATGCAGGGCGAGTGCCTGTTCACCTGTAGGGCTTGCACGGCCAAAGTGGGAAGGATTCATATGAGGAACATGAAAAGTATTTCCATATTTATTTTGAGACGACTGCAGATTTACATGTTTCAGTCCCTTCTACTTTCACGTGGAGTTTCTTACCATTACTCAACACGAGGAAAAAGCCAAAGCGTCATCTAACAAGCAAGAAAACAACAGCTCTCCTCACACCACCAAGGTCTTTGCTGAAACAACATGAACACCTGTCTGAGCTGGGGTCAGAAGCTGCTCCTGAGATTACAGGGCGGTGTGGGCCCCTCAGGAGGGAGCACGTCAGGAAACGGCGTGTGGGGGGCCGCTGGTGGCAGGGTCGCCCCGGGCCAGCTGTAGACCGGCCCTGCTCCTGGGTCCTGCACCCCCCGAATGCGGTACCTGCTCCTTCTGGGCAACGTGGGGGAGCCGGGGAAGTCTCTCCTCAAGGGCAGTCAGGTGCATGACAGATTAAGTCAAGTTCAACCGTCCTACAAATCCTTGCAAATCCCAACCTTCAAATCCCACCCCAGCCCCAGCACCTGCCCCTCCTTGGTCAGGAAGGGCCTGCTCTTCATGAGCCCGAACGTCCTCACCGACTTCACGCAGGTCTAGCTTTCCGAGGGCTCATCTCAGCACAGCAGCGATCGGGGTGGGCAAATGTGACTGTGTAAGGGTCAGGTGGGCAGAGGGACCGAAGTGCCCGTGCCACGTACCCAGAGGTCAGTCTGTCTGGAGACAGGTCCTGCTCTGGGGGCAGGGGCTGAGCAGGAAGGGTGTGCAGAGCCCGTCTCGGCCAGGCATGCAGACAGAGCGGGTGCCGAGCAGTCAGTGTGGGAGGCGACACGGGATGAGCCACGGGACAGAAGCGCCAGTGTGGGAAGAAGACAGTGAGAGAAGATGGGGAGTGAAAATGTCCAAGATCACATTAATAACCATGCCAGCAGAGGACAGGGCATAGCCGGGAGGTCACTAACACGGTGACTGGAGACCCCTTCCTCCCTCCGCAGGAGGCCTGCTGCCCGTGAGGGCTCGCCGTGGCCCCTCACCAGGCAGACCCCGCGGAGTTCTGGAGCTCTGGGGGCCCGGGGTTGGCCTTGTCAGTGCTGTCAGATTCTGCAACAGCCACTCAGAGGCAGGACAGAGACTCAAAAATCCTGCAGGAAAGTGGCTTCTGTACCTAACTGCATTATCGGTCAGATGGAAGCCAGAACAGACATCCGCCAGTGTGCACAGCCCGTGCAGGTCCTTAGAAAGCTGCTGTGCCCACCCAAGGTGAAGGAGGGGGCCACGCAGGAGTCTGGGGGAAGGGGCAGAGCCTCCCCAGGAGATGTGGGGGGCCGGGAATAGCAGGTGGGGCAACAGGTGGGGGCCTTGTGGCTGGGAGCCTGTCTCCTGGGCCAGAGGGGAGCCTCTGGGCCACCTACTGCGCAAGGGCTCCTCCGCGTGAATTAATGACAGGCACACAGAAAACTAAGCAAATGAAAAAATGTGATCAACTTCAGGAAAAAGGCAAGTTATGCAAACAAGGAAATGCAGGCGAGGTCACTCTGAATTGGGTGCACTTTCTATACGTCACCTGTCACAGGGCAGGGAGAGGCAGGTCCTGAGCCCCTGTGGGGCCGTCACCTGTCCTGAGCCTTGTGGGGCTCTCTGATTTATGCACACTTACTTACTTTGAAAACAATAAAAACTCTAGAAAGCCAAAGGACAGACTGGAATGTAACTTTTGTAGCATACATGTCAGACATAGGATTGATATTAACCTATCAAGAGCTCCTACAAAGCCACGAGGAAAAAGAAAACATCCCAAAGAAAACTGGGTGAGAGACTTGCTGTTAAACTTCAATCCACTGAACACTGAGGGACTTGCCTGTATGTCCTGTGTGGTTCTAGACACTGCATGGGGAGCGGACAAGCCCAGGCCTGGCAGGCACTCGGGGCTCTGCACCACTCATTGGCCACACGCACAGCACGGAAACATGACCCAGGGCTTGGGTCACAGCCACCCAGGTCCCTGCTGCGAATGGAGGACATTCTCGTAGGAAAGATGGAAAATAAACATAAAAACACTCGACCTTTTCTAACAATGAGGAAATTGCTGAAAACATCCCAGGAACCATGATTTACTCCTCCATCACGTGGGGTAGACTGAATGTGGTAGCACCTTGTTAATGAAGTGGAGATAGTGGGCTCCCTGGAGCTCTGGTGCGGCATAATGTGCTCAGCATCTCAGAGCATGCAAACCCCGGAAGCTGGCAGTCCCATCCTCAGGGATCTATCCTACGGAAACACTAGCACAAGCGAGCAGAGGTAGAGTTACACTAGGAAAGAGTCACACATTTACATGCACAGATTGGAATATAGAAAAAGGTGCTGATCTTTACACACTCAAATGGAATGGTGTACCCAATAAAACAGTAACTGAAAAATAAAGTCACAGGACAAAATGCAAAGCAAGGATTCTTGTTAACATAAAGACAACCGTACGTGCTTGTTGCACATAGACACATAGTCCTACACCTATGTGCAGAAAATATCTGAACAGACACCAAACTAACCATAGCGGCCTGTCTCTGGGAAGTAAGCTTTAGGATGAGTGTGTAATTTATTATAAGCATGTAGTATGTGATATTTTGTAAAGAAAAAAGTACTACACGCTGCTTGAAGGTGGTGTGTCTCCTACCCGGTCAGAGTCTTGTAGCTATTTCTGTGGGCTGTCAGCTCAGGGTAGATCTGCCACTGAACAGTGGAAAGATGACTTTGAGATCCCATCTGGTACTTTCCATGTCAGAAGGAGGTCAAGTCTGATGGATGTCAAAGTCTGAAGGATGGGACACAGGGCGTGTGAGCCAATCACTTTATGCAGAAGTTGCCTAGTACTTGACCATACTGACCATCTCTAGAAGTTTCCTAGGAAAGCACAATAAAGCCTTTTAAAGAACCCTCTGAACACACTCATACCCAAGTTTCAAGAGCACAAAGTTGATGGAAGATAGCCCAGCACACAGCCCGCGAAGCCGGCACTGCCTGGGCACCGCAGTCACCCCCCGACTCCTCGCTCAGAGACAGCGCAGGAAGGACAGAGTCCGCCGGCTCCAGCCCCGGGCAAGAGCTGAAGGGCCATTTATCAAACTGCAACTGACCCTACAAAACACACCTTTCCATTGAATTGCGGTGTATGGGCGTCGCCCCCTCCCGCCCCTGCCAGGCACCTGCACAGTGCTTTCCACAAACTGCCTCAGAGCAAGACCCAGGCCCTGCCGCGATCGGCGATCGGCGGTACAGCCCGTCCCCAAGCCTCTGAAAGGGCGTCCCGGAGGCACACGCACCCTGTCCTACTGCCCATGCGTCAGCCTGCTCCCCACATGGACGTAAACTCAGCTGTGAGGAGTGTCACTTGGTTCGCCAGGGTCCTGGGGAGGTCCGCTGACTTACTGCGTCCTGTGGTTGCAGAGATCACAGATAACCCGCCCTGGGTCTCCACAGGCTGCAGACCCCTCTGGCAGATCTCGTAAGGCACCGGGGACACGCAGGGCTGCAGGCTATGGAAAGAGACCCTGGCGTCCGGCACAACAGGGGCAGGGCTGCTGTGGAGACTGCTGATGGGGCCTGAATCCACCTTACTTGTGTTTGGGATAACAGCCGAGCCTCGCCCTTCACATGCCTGGACCCCTCCCTGGCCTGGCCCTGCGGGTCCACCCTGACACTCGAGTGGGGCCTGGACCCCTTTGTTCCCCGCCCACC